CGCCGCCGCCGCAGCCGCCGTCGCCACCAGGCAGCGCCTTCCGAATCTCATCCCGGTCGGTTCACGGGGGCTTCAGTCAGTCAGCCGACGCTCCGAGAAACGCGGTGATTATTTCCATTGTATGCTCGCAGTTCTCCGGGGGGGAGGGAAGGGGGCCTTCCCACCGCACATTCGCGTTTCACCTCTCTCTCTTTCTCTCTCTCTTTCTCTCCTTCTTCCATTTTCCGTATCACTCCTCTCTCATTCTGCCACTCCGCTCCCGCTCTCGCGCTTCTATGTCGCGCGCTATGCCCGTGCAACCTCCGTGCGCCTCCTTCTCGCCCCCACTGACGCGGACCCACTGACGCGCCGCAAGGTCCGCTGAAGCCTCTCCGCCGTGCTGCAGAGCGCCTCGTAGCTCACGACAGTGGTACGCGAAACGGAGCGTCGCGTCGCGTCGTTATCGCGGTATCGGGGATATTGTTACAGCTGGTTACTTCGTGCCAATCGGCGATCGCGGGCATCTCCGCCTGCTTGCGTGCACCGTCTCCCCGCGATTTGGTGTTAAAGTGCGCGATCGGTATACTGACGACGACCGGGTAGCATGAGGTAGCGTGGAAGAAATCGGTGCTACTCTTGCCTTGGTGAACGCAGTTTCCTTCGTGCGATCGTCCATTCGTGAAGATATCTCACCGATCTTTCGACCGCGAACGACGTTCGAAGGTGTGAGCTATATCGAGTGCCGAGAAAAACCCAGTTGGTTCCGATTGAGCGAGTCCGACCGTCACTCTAGTTGTCCGATCTCTCTCTCTCTCTCTCTCTTTCTGTCTCTCTCTCTCTCTCTCTCTCTCTCTCTCTCTCTCTCTCTTTCTCTTTCTCTGGTTTGTCAGTGGCGGTTTTATTCATTGTGCGGAGGTGCGGTTCTTTGATACGTTACAAGTGTTACGTCAATGGCAACGGGGTAGTCCAGGCTACCAGCGCGCAGCCAGGATGATATGAGCACGCTTGGCAGGTGAGTGAACTGACCTCGCGTTCTCGCGTAGATGTGTGTAGATATCGAGACACGTGGTTTTTGATGCGCGATACGGGGATTTAAAAGCGGCGACGAGATCATATTGCAATTACGTATCCTACACACGCGCACACACACGCAAATTATCTGCAAATATGCCATGTATCTAATCATCGGATTAGAGATAATCCTGATTAATCTTTCACTCTCCCCATTTCTAGATATTCGAAATTTATGTTTTTGAAAGATTACAAGTTATAATTATATAATTATATAATTTACACAACAAGTTATAATTATATAATTTACTTTCTACTGTGACTAAAATAAAATATATGAAGTATTTTTTTCTTTCAATTAATAATTATGGCTGCGCATGGAAGAAATGTTAAGAAGGAAAAACATGAATAAGATTTCAAGTCAATGATTCAGAAATCAGTTACATGATTTCAGATAGGTTTAAATTTTAACATTTATTTCCATTCTTAATATTTTCTCCATTGTGCGCAAAGCCTTAGAATCGTAATCTGTAATGATAAATTTGCCAAGCAACCGTAATCCAATCTATCAGTGGAATTTAAAACGCTTCGTGACATTCATATAGATTGTTGAAAGATTGCAATTAGATCGCGAAAACTATCTAACAAAGTACTAAGTGTCTACGATACTAGAAATCGTTTCGAAAAAGAACCAATAGCATTGATCCATTGGTCGATTTGTTCGAATCGTGGTTCGTTAATTTTTTCTCTGTTTAAGATCTCGGAGTAATTTGTAGCATTGTGAACATAAGATTAAAGAATTCTTCGTTGACTCTGGATTTGTCGATATATAACGGAACATCGATATATAATTAATTCGACACGATTTCGTTAATGCGCGTGCAACGAGTGAAACGGCACGCGTGCGTACTTATGAGAAGTGAATTACGGTCTGTCATACGACACGCACATCTGAAGGAAAGTTCGATGATTGGCAGGCTTCGTCGGTCGCAGCATCCGGATCGATGTGACTCTCAATGTGACTCGAAACGCGAAATCACGCTTGCACGGGCTGCAGCGATCGCGCTTAATACGAATCCTCGCCGGTGCGTAATCTGAGTCACGTCATGACATTGTATCTCGCGATACGCGACCACCAGCATGATAGCGCGAGGGCGACAAAGACCGTGTGCGTATTTGTGTATAAGTACGTGTGTCGAGTTATGTGAACGTGTGCATGCGTGCGTCGTGCGTGAGCCGTACCCAGGCGACCGGGTACAGGCGTGTACACACGGGGCCATGTGTTCGGTACGGCGAAGGAGAAAGAGAACCAGCTCGGAACGGAAGGTCGATGGGAGAGATGAAGAGAGGAGAAGAGACGTAACGAGCGAGGGTTGAGAGAGAAGTGTGTGTGTGTGCGTGTGCGTGCGTGCGTGCGTGCGTGCGTGTGTGTGCGTGTGTGTGCGTGTGTGTGTGTGTAAGAGAGAGAGAGAGAGAGAGAGAGAGAGAGAGAGAGAGAGAGAGAGAGAGAGAGAGAGAGAGAGGGAGGAGAGAGCGTACTCTCTACGCATCTGACCCAGTGACCCTCCCCGTTGTCCCCCTCGTGCTTCTCTATGGGGTTCCATCTACTTTTCCTCAGGCTTTCCATTATCACAGAATATCTTACGCGATCCCACTCAAAATCCGACGACGCCTCTCTACTTCCTTCGCGCAAAGAACGACACGAAGGACACTTAACGTCCATCTCAATTAATTGGAGTAAACGACACATGTCGCACAAATCCTTTCAACCTTGAAATGATAAACCAGAAGTTTTTGTCGATCGGGCGGGCACGAAGCGGATTTCGAAGGAGCATTTTATTTGATATGAATGTTATTATACAAATAAAGAGAGTATCTTAATATGCATTATTAATATTTATGAAGATACAAATTGTCTCCAACTTTCTACTAACGGGCAATTCTGAGTGACATAATGAAACACAATAAGTGGACTGTATAATTAAATCTATCGCTTATTATCGCATCACGGAAAAATTGCTTATTCACGTAGCACTTAAAGTGAAACATGAATCTGCAGTTTTTTATCCCAATACTAGAAGACTTCGATGAATCAGTTAGGCGAATATAATTGGGGGGTTTTGTCTATAGCGCGCGTATTATCGTTACAATGTCTCGTTAATCGATGTTTCTCACTCAAAAACGACCCTTTCAAGCAGGGCTTAAGTGCCGGATTGTTGAGTACGCGTTCGTGCGTATAAAAATATCGAGTTATTTCGGACACCATGATAATAAGCGCGAACTTATAAATTCCCAAAGGATATGCGACGCGGAGATTGATCGAACACGCGAACTACGTGCACGCATTTGCGTAACAAGAGCGCATGTCGCCAAACGAATCGAGATATCGACGATATCAAATTAACGCGCGAATGTCCATCGCTCGGGGTTGTTCGTTTTATTTTTAATCGATTTCCCTGGAGTACGACATCGTCTCGCTTCAAGTTTTGCGATTTTACAGCATTCGCTGAATACGATCGATCTTTTACGCTTTAATCGCTATTTAAATTAATCGACAGTTTGAAAGTATCCGCTAAAAAGGTCGTTTAAATGCGGAAGCAAATTAAAATAATTGTATATTGATATTTAATGTATGATATTTAATGTCATGATTATCTCTTTTTACGAATATTTAAATAAATTCTTAAAGATCCTGATCGTTTATCACGGATTTAAATGAAGACAGAAGCGAAATAAAAACATAAAATAATATAAATAACGAAAATTATTGCAATATATTGTATATTAAGATAGAAATATTTTCCAATAAAACAATATTTGCATTTGATTGAAAACTGTAAATGAAATATACCGAAAACTCTCATTTTATTTCGCAGAATAGAATAAAATTATATTCATACAACAGCTTTCATATACAATACTCAAATTGTTTCCTTATTTGGTTAGATATACTTCAATTTCAAATATATTATTTATGTGTATATTGATTGTTGGGATTCACAAGGAGAAATTTCGGTATATTTTACAAATCTATTATATCAATTTCAAATGTTGTTTTATTAAAAATTACTTAAATTTTAATGTAGTTTGTAAGAATTTATTTAATGTATTTTTTCGCTTCTTATGTCACAATTCAAGATGGCAGCGTAGACAGGAAACAGATAATGTTTCTATTATCACTGCGTGAGAGAAAAAAAGCTGCATTACAATTACTATAATTTGACTATAATTTATTATATTTTTGAGGTTTTCTTTTTTATTTTCATTAAAAAAGTTATACGGTTTGGGTTATCTTCATCTTGATATATCATTAAATGCCATCGTGAACATTGTAGTTCATTTCATCAGTGCGAGAAACAACTTGATATTGTAATTTATGATCATTGTTCTTACAATTTATATCTAGTCGTTTTCGGTGCCAACTAGATATTTTTTGGTAGAACTATTATATAAATATAATTATTATCACTAACATTCTAGCAATAATAACTATAAAAATGAAACTGATATCTATAATTATTTTGCCATGCAGTTATAGTCACAAATATCAAACATTTTTCTGTCAATGTAGCAAATATACAAAGCCATTATTCAATATAATATGCAATTCTATTAAAGAATTTATTAATTATGAGCAGCATCTCATCATAAATAGATGAAGCATTAAAAAATGCTATGTGGTTGTTAAATTTACAATCTATTCATCGGTAGCCTCCATAGAATTCCGCATCTTTGAGGAGATAATTAAAACCTGGGTACAATATATACGTACAAAAGCTCTTTATATGACTAAAGGTGCAGCGAAGTTACATTATACAGAATTCCCGCTATAATAAATTACTTCAGTTGCACGAGCGCTGAAGCTGCAGCCCCCTCCCCCCTCTATAAACTATGTACATGATGTGCATTATATTGCATTGCGTTCAACGATATTGTCCGTGCGATAATATATGCAGTATCTATCACGGTATTTTATTAAAGCCAATTGCTCTCTTAGTATAATCTAGTTATCTAATGCGACTCGAAATATCGGCGCGACCTCGCTAATATACGTGGACAGTCCTATAATTGTGCGTGACATCGCTCACTATACAAATGAATTTGGATGCGTGTGTATAAAACTTGATAATGGAGATGTATTGCATACTTTGATTACGTCACTAGACTGCATGTTAGCGCATTTAACGTACGAGACAAAGCACGATTCTAAAATGTCAAAACACGAAGAGGTCGAGTTTCGACATTCCGGCTTACTTGCGAAAACGAATGATAGCACTAATTCGCTTTCGTTATTTTAAAAGTGCGCCTAGTCAGCGTGTTCACTTAATCTATGAACAATATAAACGATGCTGATAGAAGGTCATTAGTTACGACATGTAGCTTTAAGCCTTCCAAATGCAAGCAAATTAACTATTTACTCGTATAATTAATTATTTACTCATGTCACGGAATCCGTGCACTACGTATATGTACACAGCATGTAATCGCAATTTGTAAAGCGTACCTGTCTGGACATTACCGAATCGCGCAATCACATTTCGCAGCTATGAAAAATTTATATTTAAAAGTCTATGAGATTTTAAATATTTGCGTGTCGACTTGTCAACGTAGTTGTGTGCCCTGATTTCGAACTTATCTCAATGAAATTACGCGTATGAATTACAGTGTTTTAATAACGCTTGCAATATCGCAAACGATATCGTACTTGACTTTGACCGACAAACGCCAGGATGTGAAATACGTTTGTTAGAAGAAAAATTCTTACTCATCAGCACGATCACATCCGCTAAGGTCAAGGCCATTGACAAGTCATTAGAGAACGATAATTTGATACGAATATAAATGTTAACATTTCCTTTTTGAATTATTGCACATGTCACCGAGTTTCTGCAGCTTATTTTTATAAACAATGCTCACCGCGCAAAAGTACTATTATTCGAGACAATCAAAGATCTCTGAAACTCCCGTGGTTTATTAAGCTATTATATTTGCTCGCACTTA